CCCCACCCATTAAGATGGTGACAGAGACAGGATCAGACCTCCTTTCTCACTGCCCAAATCTTTCCAGTTCTGTGAAGTGCCTCCCTGTGACTACCCATACTTTACCTTCTCCCTGTGACAGGGATATCTCATCCAACATAGAGATGGGGACAAAGGTGACTTCTCTGCTGCCACTTTCCTGGGAATTTCTCTCTAAGTGTCCTCCTTTACTCAAAGTGAAAACTCTTGACTTTCTAGTGTCCTTTGCTCCCTAAGAGACTCTTGGAAGCCCTGCTCACACTACATTCAAGGCTCACCCTGCACTTGGCACACATGAGTGCATGAGAGAAGAGTACCTCATCCAGAGAACAGCACAGCATACACTGAAGCCAACAGTGTCCGTCACGTCTATCTGCGCTGCCAACTGTCTGACTGTTTTCCGGATCCTGGGGAGAGCGGGCTATGGTCCTGTGTGCTGAGCTCACACTCAGACCTGAGTCCGGCAAGTACCTTGCTAACTAGAGTGCTGAGGATTCTACTTACACAGGGGCACCTTAAGGACAGAGAGAACCTTTGGACTCAAGCTGCGAAGCTCAATATAACTTCCAAGATTTGAAGATGATGCCTTTGAGGGGTTGTTCTCATTGTTTGCTTTTTCAGTTGTTTGGTGTATTGAGACAAGGCCTCATTGTATGGTCTAGGTTGAATTGAAACTACAGCATTTCTCTCTGACTTAGCCTACCAAGTGCTGGGGTTATAAGCATGCACCACCATGCCCAGCTGTAAAGGTGTGTTTATAAGGGCTTTAGTGTAAAGCATTTTGGTAAAAAGAAACTGCCATGCCCAGATGTGTGTGTTTAGGGTGTTTAGGGTGGACATCATGGTTACAGAGCATTCTGAGAGCCAATCCAAGAACTGCATAAGGGACAAATCACAACAGGCTATGTATGCCATGATATCTAGGAATGACAGGAGTCTTGAGAGAACCAGGAGTGGGAGATGGTGGGCTGAGAAACATAAAAGAACATGATCTGGGGAAAAGGCACAGAATCCCAGGAGAGGCCATCCACGGTACAGATCTCTGGCCCATCAGTTCAGCCAATAGCAAGCTGTCTGCAAAGTTCCTGAGCCACACTGAAGAACCGCTGGAGGAATCGAGGAAGAGAGACAGAGAGAAATGGCGTGGCATAGAATGGACATGGGAGAGGTAGGAGCAGAAGGTAAAAGGAAGCAAACAAGTAAAGAAGGGGCACTCTGAAAAACACAGAAGCAGAGCCGACAAGTGAGGTTAGGTGAGGTGCCAACGATACACTTAAGTGAGGCACAAGCAAAAGAAAGACTGGTGGGCTCGGGACCTCAGGCTCCTTCAGGGTGTCTGGGACAAAAGACGGAGAATAGAGGGTGCTCACCATCCAGGTGAGAGCAGGCCTCTGTCCAGAGCAGTGGTTCTCAACCTGTGGGCCGTGCCCCCTAGGGGTGTTAAATGACTCTTTCACAGGGTTCCCCAGCAACCATCAGAAAATGCAGATATTCACATTATGAGTCATAACAATATCAAAATTACAGTTATTAAGTAGCAAGAAAAATAATTTTAAGGTTGGGGTCAACATAATATGAAGACTTGTATTAACAGGTTAGAGCATCAGGAAAGTTGAGAAACACTGTTCCAGAGACTCCACTGAGGAAGAAAGTGGTGGGAGGCTGCAAGGCAACTGGAAGGGTCCACACGGCGACAGAGAAGGATGATAGACTTGTGTCAGAAGACTGAAGACTCTGTGCAGTGGGGATGGGCAGCCACAGCATTGTCTGCAGAGGGCAGAGAGGAAGAAGATGCTCTGAGCTGGAGCTGGATTAGGAACCCTGAACCCAAGGGAGAGGCTCCTCCTTCAGTGAGGAAGTATGGAAGGACAAGTGCGTTCCCAAGTCAATCTGAAGGTTAATTAACGGTAGGGAAGAGTGAAAGATGACAGACTGCAGAAGTATACCTGGTGAGATTTGAGTTGATGCACATCTTGGTGAAATCATGGGGGCCATTCAATAACTGAGTGCACACTCGAAGATGCTGGGCGTCTAGAGCAGAGAGCTACACGTTGGCTTCAACTATACAAAAGTGAATGATGCTGTGGGTTCAAAGTGCAAGAGCAAGAGGGTTGACTTGAGTTGATTAGTAGCAGCCAAACAACTGCAGCATCGGTGAATGGTAGCTCTGCTGTGGTTTGAGCACAAGAGAGCCTCCAAAGGTTCATGTGCTGTACTCTAGGTTCCCAGATTATGGCAGAGTTGTGAAGTGTAAAGAGCTTTTAGGAGCCTGACTGGCACAAAGCAGTCACGAGGGAGGGCCTTTGAAGTCCTGTCTATGTGTGTGTCTTTCTGTGTGTGTGTGTGTGTGTGTGTGTGTGT